GGTTCCTCAGGGGTCAGTTGTGGGTCTAGTACTGTTCAGTATTTTCATTTAATGATGTGGATAATGGAGTGGAGAGGATTTTATAAAATTTTCAGATGATATCAAGCTTGGAGTTGTTGCAAGCACTTTGGAGGACAGGGTTAGAATTAAAAATGACTTTGATAAATTGGAGAATTGATCTGAAATCAACAAGATGATGAAATTCAGTAAAAACAAGTGCAAAGTAGTTCACTTAGAAAAGAAAAGCAAAATGTATAATGATGAAAGGGGGAATGACTGGCTAGGTGGTACCATTGCTGAATCTATAGCGCATCACAAATTGCATATGAATCAACAATGTGATTCAGTTGCGAAAAAGACTAATATCACTTTGGGGTGCGATATATGTAAGACATGGGAGGTAATTGTCCTGCTGTATTTGACGTTGGTGAGATCAACCCTGGAGTATGTGTCTAGCTCTGCATGCCATATTAGGAAAGAGAAGGAAAAAATTCTAGAGAATACAGAGAAGAGCAACAAAAATTATGAGGTTTAGAAAACCTGACCTATGGGGAAGGTTAAAAGAATTGGACATGCTCAGTCTTGAGAAAAGAAAACTGAGGGGAGGATCTGATTAACAAACTTCAAATATGTTAAGAGTTGTTAGAAAGAAGACTGTGATTAGTTCTTTATGTCCACTGAAGGTAGAACAAGAAGTAATGGGCTTAAATTGCAGCAAGGGTGATTAAGGTTAAACCTTGGGGGAAATCTTTCTAATCACAAGAGGATAGAATCATACAATCAAAGAAAATTGGGATTGGAAGAGATCTCAGGAGGACATCGAGTCCAACCCCCTGCTCGAAGCAGGACCAAACCCAACTAAATCATCCCAGCCAGGGCTTTGTCAGGCTAGGCCTTAAAACCTTCTAACGATTCCACTGTCTCCCTAGGTAATGCATTCCAGTGCTTTACCATCCTCCTTGTGAAATAGTTTTCCCTAATATCCAACCTCTAATCCTCTCCACCAGCACACACACTGCAAGTATTTAAGCTCTGAAATAGGCTTCCAAGGGAGGTTGCAGAATCCCCATCTCTAGAGGTTTTAAAGAACATGTTGAACAAACACCTATCAGGGATGGTCTAGGTGTACTTTGTCCTGACCCAGTGCCAGCCTTCAAGCCCTACATTTCTATTAACCTATTAAAAGTGCTGTAGAATTTTGAGATATTATTGTGTCTTAAAATAGAGACCAAACACCTCAAAATTTGATTCTATAACAGAACAACATGCCCCTATTATAAGCATAACTCCCAATTCCAGTGGCACTCTGGACTTCAGCTAAATTAATGACTGGTGTGTCTAAACATTACAAGTCCTCTGACTGAGACTAGAAATCTTCCATATACCATGGGATGGTGTCTGAAATTACATGGGAAAAGGGAAATGTGTATGTGTGTTTGCGCACAGATAGATTCGTAGAGGTTAGGTCCATCAATGGCTATTAGTCAGGATGGGTAGGAATGGTGTCCCTTTTCTGTCTGGAAATGGATGACAGGGGAGGGATCATGTGAGGATTACCTGTTGTGTTCCCTCCCAGTGGCATCTGGTATTGGCCGCTGTTGGCAGACAAGATACTGGGCTAGGTGGACCGTTGGTCTGACCCAGTATGGCCGTTCTTATGTTCACATATCTGTATATATAATATATATATTAGCATTTTGTGGTTTTCTATATACAATTGCTGTTATGTTTCTCTTTTACTGGAAAGAATGGATGGGTTTCCTCTTTACTGATTAGACAGTGGAGAGAATCATTCAGATTCTCTTCATGTGTTTGTAGCCCAGTACTCCAGAATAACTTCTGAGGTGCTTTGAATTCTGACAGAGCAGCTTTGAAACTTGCTTCATCAGTATCTGCTGTTTGACACTTACTCAAGAGTAGAAGCACTTGCCAGCCAAGACACCTCGTTAAGAAGAGTGGAGATGGTTTTAACCAGGAAATTGTGTTCTCTAAGGGTATGTCTACACTACCCCCCTAGTTTGAACTTAGGGAGGTAATGTATGCATACCGAACTTGCTAATGAAGCCCGGGATTTGAATTTCCCAGGCTTCATTAGCATAAAGCCGGCGCCGCCATTTTGTAGTGGTCAAAGATTTTTTATGCTGGCTAACAGTGCATATGAGAGTGGACTACACTGACAAATATGAAATCCAATATTATAGAGCAGAAGATTGAAATGGCTTGGGAACTCTGAAATTTCTCTTGTGGTGATATAGAAATTTTTACACTCCTTCAGGACAGGGATCTTCCTTTCAATGTTAACTGTTGTCTCCTTTCCACTCAGCTTCTCTGATATTTGTTTTTTATATCCACATCCATGCTAGTCATGGAAGCAGTGCTACAACGCTGCTAGTCACTGTGCTTGAACATGCTTGTTACTGGAATGCTTTACAATTAACAGTCTTAGGGTATGTCTACACTACCCCCCTAGTTCGAACTAGGGGGGTAGTGTAGACATACCCTAAGACTGTTAATTGTAAAGCATTCCAGTAACAAGCATGTTCAAGCACAGTGACTAGCAGCGTTGTAGCACTGCTTCCATGACTAGCATGGATGTGGATATAAAAAACAAATATCAGAGAAGCTGAGTGGAAAGGAGACAACAGTTAACATTGAAAGGAAGATCCCTGTCCTGAAGGAGTGTAAAAATTTCTATATCACCACAAGAGAAATTTCAGAGTTCCCAAGCCATTTCAATCTTCTGCTCTATAATATTGGATTTCATATTTGTCAGTGTAGTCCACTCTCATATGCACTGTTAGCCAGCATAAAAAATCTTTGACCACTACTGAAATGCAGGGCCACAGAGCAACAAACTATTTCCTCAGGTTGCAAATCTAGCTGTGATTGCTCTTACAGCTGCACAGAAGAGGTCAGGAGCTGAGAAAGGCTTCATTGGATGTGTCTGATACAGTGGTCACCAACCAGTCGATCGGGATCTACTGATAGATCTTGAAGCCTCTGACAGGCGATCTTGACTGGTTTGGCCAAGAGGCTGTCAAGTGCCGGCACTTCAGCTGCCTTCCCCCGCCCCCACTGCTGTGCAACTCCTGCGCTTTGCCTTGGAGCTGTTCCCCTCTCCCACCCTGTATTCTGTCTCCACAGAACAGGGGTGAGGGGCACAACAGGGTTTGGGATGTTTGCTGGCTGCTTTTGAGAGTGGTGCAGGGCAGCTTAACCCCACTGCACCGCCACACAAGAGCCACCTGTGGTAAGCATGTCCAGCTGGAGCATGCATCCTGAACACCCTCTTGCATCCCAAGCCCCTGCCCTAGCCCTGAGTGCTCCTAGACCCAAACTCCCTTACAGAGCCTTACCCTGACCCCACTCCTACAGCCCAAGTTCTGCCCCAGGCTCAGCTCAGAGCCCTTTTCACACTCCATATCCCTTAGCCCAAGACCAGAGACTGCACCCCAACCCTTTGCCCCTGCCTGATGAAAGGGAGGAAGAATGGGGGAGGGAGGAAAGATGGAGTGAGCGGGGGTGGGGCTTTGGAAAAGGAGGTGGGGCAAAAGCATTTGGGTTTGAGGTAGATCCTGGATTGCACTCACATTCAAAAAGTGATCTTGTGCTTAAAAAGGTTGGAGACCACTGGTCTAATGAATAAGGTAGGAAAAGGAAGGGAACAGCAGTTGTTGCATGTAGAAAGCAAGCAAGCAAGCAAACAAACAAGCAAACTAACGTAAGTTAATTTAAAAATGCATACTTGAGTTTAATGTCTAAATGTTGTAATAAATAAAAAGGCAATTAATGTTTGATTCGGTATAATCAAATACCTATGATTGGCCCACAAAATTCTACCAACGCTCTTAGCTTTCCAACACTCTGTGTGTGTTCACTTGTCTACATCATTCTCAAATCTGTACACATATGCATTTAATGGGAGAATTGTGTGTGAACCTTACAAGATACTACATGTTGCTGTTGAAACTACCTCCCTCACCCTGCTCTCATGTCTTTGAGACCCCATTCCTCTTTTTTACTAATACTGTGATGGTTTAAGTTAGCACAGAGATCCATTTGAGTATCTACATCCAGTGTTGTTATTTTGAGGTCAGGCTAAACCACTGCTGAAGAGCTCTCTGATGCTTCTTGTTGCAAAAACTGAAAGGCTGCAGATTTCCAGAGGCTCTGCTAACAGACAATGCACATGAGTAATTGTGAGATGCCTCGATGTGTTGGCTAATCTAGAAATATAAATACACAGAGCCTTGTCCTGAGAGATTAGTTGTAGATGTCTAGCACATCTCATGCTCAAGTCCACCCTTGAGAGGAGAGAGTGAGTTTGTGTTAGAGAAAAATTAAATGTCCAAATGTGTTTGGAGCATGGGACGGGGACTCAGGACTCCTGAGTTTTGTTCCTGGCGCTGCTACTGTCTCACTCTGTGACATGAGGCAAATCTTGTAACTGCTCTATGCCTCAGTCTCTTCTTCTATATAAGGGTACGTGTAGTCTACAGGCTTCTGTCGACAGAAGTTTTGTCGACAGATACTGTTGACAAAAAGTTTTGTCGACAGATACTGTCCACAAAACTTCTGTCGACAAAGAGCATCTAGACTACATTGAGTTCTGTCGACAAAGCAAGCTGCTTTGTCGACATGGTAGTGTAGACGCAAAGGACAGTTTACATGCAATAACACCTTCTGTCGACAGAAACTCTGTCGACAGAAGGTGTTATGCCTCGTAAAATAAGGTTTACCAGCGTCGACAAAACTGCTGAGTTCTGTCGACGTTATGTCGACAGAACTCAGTGATTGTGTGGACGCAGGTATAGTTTTGTCGACAAAAGTGGACCCTGTAGTCTAGACACACCCTAATGGAGATAATATATTTCCACCCCAAAGGGGTCTTTTGAGATCTAACTACTCAATATCCTGGCTCACTGGCCTTTGACATTACTTGTATGTAAAATCTGCGTGTGATGATAAACACTGATGTTTTCCTTGGGTATGTCTTTCAGAATGCAGCTCTTCAGCATCTGTTTATCCGAAAATCCTTCCGTCCCTTCAAATGCCTGCAGTGTGGGAAGGCGTTCCGGGAGAAGGACAAGCTAGATCAACACTTGCGGTTCCATGGGCGGGAAGGGAACTGCCCTCTGACCTGTGACATCTGCAATAAGGGCTTTATCAACAGTGGTGCTCTTGAAAGTCATATGAAGTTCCACTTGGACCAGAAAACATATTCCTGCATTTTCTGTCCTGAATCTTTTGACCGGTTGGACCTGCTCAAAGATCACGTGGCAATCCACGTCAGTGATGGTTATTTCACCTGCCCTACCTGTAAAAAGCGCTTTCCCGATTTTATCCAGGTGAGTGCCATGGTGATCACAAGCAGTGGCTTCCAGGCCTCTGGCACATGTAATGCTTCTCAGTACTGTTTCCATTCAGGGTAATGCATGCCAGATTACAAGATGAGTGGGATCAGTTCTTGGAGGGGAAAACTGACAGCATGGCAGGAAGTGGTAACATTCTTTTGTAGATGGCACTTGTCCCTCAGAGTCAGTAGTGAGCCAATACCCCAGCATGGCACAGTGTTGTTGGTACAGTCTTTTGGACAACATGAAACAGAATTCTTGATTGCATATGATTGTTCAAGATGCATGGCACAACAGGTTTTTCCCTCTTGCTGGATGCAGTACACATCAGAATGTATACCTACTTGTCTCTAACTGCTAAACTTACCTATTCAACTGTTTTATGTATTTAAATCCCATAGTCTTTTTTTCAGGAGTAATGCTGTTGACTCCAGGATGGTAATTCCAAAGCATTTCACTATGTTCCACTTCCCTAAATTCCTCTTGTAGATTCAGTCAAGTACAATATTCCTCTTTATTCCCACATTCCAAACAAGAAGCAGCTGCATTTGAGTGGTGGGTGATGTAACCTCTTTGTGCAATTTGTGGGGCCCTTCTAGATCAGTGCTGGGCAAAAGGCTGTCAGTGGGCTGGATCTGGCCTGCCAAGCACTTCCATCTGGCCCATGGCAGCTCCCCGCTCCGCCGCTCTGCATTGCCTGAGAACCACAAGGGAGGCGCAAGCCCTTTCAATTTCTGCTATTTAAAGGACTGACAGGGTATGTCTACACTACCCCGCTAGTTTGAACTAGCGGGGTAATGTAGGCATACCGCACTTGCAAATGAAACCCGGGATTTGAATTTCCCGGGCTTCATTTGCATAAGCGGGGAGCCGCCATTTTTAAATGCCGGCTTGTTCGAACCCCGTGCCGCGCGGCTACACGCGGCACGGGCTAGA